ACAGGACTCGTGGAGTGGATTTAAATGGTAGATGAAGGTTGAGGAAATATGTCACTGGTTCATTTATTATTAGTTTATTTCTTTTTTTTGCTAATTTTTACAGAAGATCAGGAAGGAAGGGGATAAAACAACACACTCCAAGTAGGTCAGTTACTTGTTTGCTTTAACATGTTTTCTTCCCTTCAATTTTTGGTCCTCTGTGTTGTAGACGCAGCAGATTCAGAAAGTATGAGGGAGTATAAAGATATTTTCAAGACACTGAACCATGTTATAGGTGGCTTTATCCATGTATATGTTCTTGGTACTGGCTGTAATGGTTCTCTAGATTTAAGGGTCAAAAATTGTCAAATACTGGAAGCTAGTATTTATTATGTTGTGAGATTTGTGATCTAGGGCTGCAAGGTGGAGCGGTGGTTAGCACTGTTGCCTCACAGCAAGAAGGTCGCTGGTTCGCGTCCCGGTTAGGACGCCCAAGATCTTCTTGCGTGGAGTTTGCATGTTGTCCCCATGCAGTGTGGGTTCTCTCCAGGTTCTCCTGCTTCCTCCCACAGTCCAAAAACATGTTGAGGTTAATTGGTGATTCTAAAATTGTCTGTAGGTGTGAATATGAGTGTACTTGGTTGTCTGTCTGTAAGTGTAGCCCTGTGATAGACTGGTGACCTGTCCAGGGTGTCCCTTGCCTTCACCCTGAGTCAGCTGGGATAGACTCCAGCCCCCCACGACCCTAGTGAGGATTAAGCAGTGTATAGATGATGGATGGATGGAACTTGAAAGGTTCTGCTGAACACTGTGCTTATATTCCATAGAGTTGGGGGTGGATGGGTACTGTTTCGGTGTACTTTCTGACACTCTGGGAATCGTCATTTGTGTGATTCCCAACCGTAACATCTACAATTGTAACTCAGGTGTTTGTTGATAGGATGAGGGAACTAGCTGCAGGGAGGTATTTGGGGACCAAACAATACCCAGCATTAATCATGTGAAACCCTGTCAGAGTCAAGTAGCTTCTTCATCAACATCACAGATATTCATGAACACAGAAGCAGCAGCACAGCGGACAATAAAATTTGATCTTCCTCATTTAACAAAAGACCACGATCATTGCAAGACTAAAGCCTCATTATGTTGAAACTGACAGTACAGTGTCAGTAACCTGAGCAGGTGCCGTGCAGGCTGCCGAATACATTTTCTGTCATATCACTAAGGACCAATATAGATAAAGTCTTCAGGTCGAAGCCGATCAGCAGACCCTGAAGCCGGTGGATAGCTTTGGAACAAACTGGCCCTTTGAGCTGAAACCAGAGCAGGTGTGACAGAGGTGGTTTTGGATGGGCGTCAGTCATGCGATGAAGATGATCAGTGTCGTTCATGGTGGCCCAGTAAAGTCCAGCGCCAGTAGCTGGCCTTCCTGTCACTCGATGCAGCATGAACGAGGACTGAAGAACCCAACACCCCAATGGGTGCCTGGGGAGGTTTCAATGGCGCTGAATGGCAAAGTTGACCTCTCCTGTGTCCTGCCGTTGGACTTCCTGTCCAGGTCCAGATGGAGACAGCATGAACGCAGGACTGTTCCACTCAGTGAACCCTGTGAATGCTTCGGAGCATGACATGTTTTTCTCCTTGTTTCTTTTCCTGATGAGGATCTTGTTGCCTTTTGGCCGATTGTTTTGAACGGTGAACTTTCCACTGTCCACTCTTAGGAGGCTAGGAAGAAGCAACAGGTTGAATATTAAAACTGGATTAACTTTAAAATGTAGAGCAGAAGTGACAGGTCTTAGAGTGTTTTTCACTGTCAGTCATTCACATTCTTACTGTTATTTCTCTCAGTTCCTTTGTCAACATCCAGCTGAGAGTCAGACGGCTCCACCCATGCTCCCCCCAAGCTGGACGGACAGGCTTGTTTTTAAAAAGAGAAGAAAAACAGTCTTCTGAACCTCTCTGTTTCCATCCTGCCACCTATCTATCCATCAGCGTGAGGTATTTTCTATTTAAATACTGATTCAACCTCAGGTTTCACACACTGAACAAGGCTAAGCAAGTACAGACAGGGTCTCTGGACATTCATGCGTACAGACTTTTGTTGAGATGAGGTACTTCAGATTGTGTCCCATCTGGGTTTCCAGTGTGAAACGTTCCTGCAGTTGTGAAAGTTCCCACTAGATGGTGGCAGAACCATTTGAACATGTCAGGCTTCACAGGTGTAGAGGGAGGAACATTTCGTCGCAATTAAGCGTTTCCCATCTCTTGTCCACATGGCCGAGTGTCGCTTTACTTCCCCTTTGACCATCTGATATTGTGTGATCTGAACAGACATGGTTAGAGCATTCTGACAGTAGAGAATGTTTCTTTAAGTCTGTCTATTATGATCCTTTTGGGCCTTGTAAAAAGTCCCAGGTGTTCCCGGCTGTGCGACATGCTTCCTGGCCTTCAGAAAGCTCCCTGCATGGAAAGATGAATCCTTCCTCAGATTTGGGACTTTGTGGTCATTCCCTTTTAGATGCAACAAAAGGTGAACAACTGATATTACAGAGCGGCATACCTTAAGGCTATTCATGCACCCCCCCTTCATTCCTCCTTCCCTTGTCTTTCCTGAAGTCTGTCATTCCAATCACAAAGTTTATGGCAAAACCGTGCCGTAGTCCTCTCTGTGAAACACTGAACTGATTTAGCATGGGTCAGTGCTCTTGGCGTGAGCTCAGTGGCTGTTAGGTTTGCTCCCCTGTTCAAATCGGCCTGCTGGAGAGATTTTGTGGTCATGGCTTGAGGCGCCGCTGCCCTTCTCTGCTGGTCCTCTTAACCTATTTTATTGAAGTATACAAAAGGTTGAACAGCACTGAACCGATTTCAGCAGGTTTTTCGTTTGAATTTCATGGTCATGAGGAGCTCATGCAAATGACTGACAAATCTGGCCTACAAATTGGTGCTGGCGTGATAGAGTTGCAGGATTTTGAATTCGTCTTCCAGATCAACTCTTGTTGGAAAATCGATTCTTTCTTAAGTGCGGTTTGATGAATGCACCACATTTTGTACATCTCAATCCAGAAGCAAAATATTCTCTCTCTGATATGCTCTCAATGACTTGCTTACTTGATCACTCAGGCATCTTCTAGAGTGCATTGTCTCAATGCTTTTTCCACAAGGCTCCACCTGGGGTCTACGAGGCCCTGAGGTGAGTTCACATCACAGTCTGTCAGACAGGCGTGGTACCATTGTGCTACGTGGGCTGCCTTCTTGGCAAGTTTTAGCCCTGACCTCTACATGTGTTTGTACACATATGCCAGCAAATAGTCACCTCTGCACAGCTGTCAATGTGGGCGCTGAATGGGAAATTCCTCACAGAACAAAAAACGCATAAGTAATGGATTTCCGGTTCACTTTTCGGACGCCAAGTCACAGCTTTTCAATCTTGAAGTGTGTGTGTGGCCGCCGCCACCTAGCCACTGAATGACTCCATGAGCTGTAAGGGCGCAGGTGTCTTGGCTGTCCCTGTCTTTGGTCGAGTGGGCTCAGCTACCGCACACAGTAACTCACTGTCCTTCCAGAGCCAGTTTTTACTACGCTTATCAACATGGGAGACAGAATGTAGCTTATGTCACTGCTTGTGTTTAATTTGAGCATATTCTTCCAGTGAAGGGAGCAGCTTAAAGCACCCCGAGGCCCTATAGTTTGATTGGGCTTCGGCACATGGGAGCTGACATATAATGGATCATTAGGTTGCATGCTGTAAAGAACCTAATTGTTTTCCATTCCCCCTTTTTTCAGATAAAGCATTCATGCTGGTTGCAAGACTGTGCATGGACTCAGGGACCCTTGAAAGATTTCTAGTGGCCTTTTGAAAAAGACAGTGTTCCCCCAAAGGATGAAACAAACACTAAAGGCCGTCTTATACTGCAGGAACTCGCAGACTGTTTCAGGGTGGCCCTTATCTTTGTGCGTGTTCTGACTGCAAGAGCCGCCCGTGTAGAATGTCTTTTAGGGACTTTTTCACAGGAAAAAACAGGTACCTACTCCAGGATGTGTTCTTCTGAGCAGCCCTGGAAAACTGCTGTGCAGGTCTCAACACAAGATTGATTCAAATTTGGAAAGACTGTTGACTGGTTAGATTTGAAGAAGACAGCAAGTGCAATTTGTCTGCCCTGTCAATGTCCCCATGAACATTTGTGCCACCTCACGGTTGCCCTGAGTTCATTTGAAAGCCACCTAAAGATAAATTTATGACTTACATCTGACAAGTTGTCACCTACTTCGCTGGTCACAATTAAGCAGGCTTTATCCAGGTCTTTGCTTGTTCTAACCTTTTTTCCATATCTCCTGTTACAAATCATACAAAGCAAAATGCAGGTGTTTCGATCCTGGCTGAAAGATGACATTAAATTCACATTGCCTCGTCTGCTGTAGGAGTATATTGTATGTGTGTCTGCACGTATTTATCCCCTGCAGTGGGAGGTTTCAATGAGCCACGGACATTTTATTTGTGTTCTACATCCCCTTTCTTCCTGTTCCTGCTCTATCTGGCTTTCCAGTTCATCGCCATTATTTATGAAGCGTTGCTTTTCCACACCTGCTCACAGGTCTGTTGCATTTGCTTGCTTACTTTCCCCTTAGCGGATAAAGTTTCCCTGGTTTCCGCTGGACTCGGAACAAAGCAGCTGTATGTGTGTTGCATGCGTATATGCAGTGTGGGCGCCAGGCAAGGTGTCGTTGGCTCGCGTACAAAGCAAGATGTTCAGCAGCTTAGGAAAAAAAGTGTTGGGTTGTAAACACCCGGAGTCAACTGTGAATGTACTGTCAACACACACACTCAGTGAGTCATTCACTGTCAATCGTTGGCTCGTCCACACACAAATGCATGTATTTGCGAGGAGAAATTCATACCCATGGTTACAGAGAGCTATGCAATCCCACACACACACACACGGCACAGGAGTTGACTGACACACACACGTATGCGGCCGTTCTGACACTTGACAAGTAGGCTCTAAAATCTTGTTCTCTTGCAGGGCTCCATGGCATAAAGCCTGTCCTCAGATTTAGCTGGTCCTTGGGGATTGCTGCCGAGCTGCTCACCTACTCTGACGCACCGCTGCCATTTTCCACAGCCTGAGGGGAACCAGGAAGCAGGCGGCAGGAGACATGCCTGCCCTGGCTACTGGAGCCGGCCACGAGCCAGGTAAGGACCTGTTGGCCAGTGACACAATCAGTAACACCAGGTTTTCTGCAAAAAAAAACCCACATAACCAGTAATATGCACTTATAAAATGTAGGTCTCCCAGAAGAAATGACAAAGGGACTTTTCTTCTTTGATTTCGATTATTACGTCTATCACCAGTACACAAACTGCAGAAATCGAATGCATGTACCAAGTGTGACCCTTGTTGAAAAATGAATACATCTTTATTTAAATGTCAGCATAGCCTGGTGGTGTGCCCACTACTTTAAGTGGTACCTAAATTTAATTTCAAGGTAGAAGAGAATTACTCTTAACTTGCCTCAGGCTTTTTCTCGACTCGAGCGGACCGTCTAAAACTGCGGTTGGAAAATAAACCAAAGTCTATTTTCGCTACATTTTGTGCCCAGAAAAATGAAAAGCATACCGCTGCAAATTTACAGTTTAACAACACGGAGCAAAATAATGTCAAAACACCATTCTCTATCTTCCAGTTCTTTTTTTTTTTTTTATCTTCCGTTGTATGGAGTGTATGGATTCATGTGTGTGTGGGTGAGTGTGCGATGTCAGAATGAGGAACATCATCAAGCTTGTCATCGCTGAGACAGCTGCCAGAAATTACCACCTCTCCCCTCAGGAACACTATCCTCCTCTATGTCTGGCTTAATGGCCGGCTGCATCGCTGCACACACACACACACACACACACACACACACACACACATGCAGAGGGCTGAACCCAACAAGCGCTGGATAACAAAAGGCCGAAAGGAGGACAGACGTTAAGTCCTGCCCTGATGGATAAAGAGCGTGTGCGTTACTGCGTCCAGACTTTTAACAGAGTTACCGAAGCCCCCGTCGTCCTGGAAATTTATGCAGGCAAAGTAGAAAGCCAGACCGTCAATTACGATTACAGTCATTTTGGGCAATTACCGGCAAGGGCTCAGGTTTCCAAATAAAACACGTAAAGACTCCTCCGGCCCATCTCCTCTGCTTCCCCCTTGATGGTCCTGTGAAGCTGTGTGTGCAGGTGAAACACGATGAACATTATGGATGATCGTTGGGTCACTGATCTCCAGGTCTGGTGAAGTCACACATACTTGCGGCCGGCCTGGCATCGGCGCCACCTGGGATCGTACAACAGTTTGCACAGAATATTGGTGGTGTTTCACTTGGTATTGTAATGATGCTGTTGATTTAAGACATTAAACTCTGTTTGGATGATGGAAAATCTTTCGCATTTATAAAATCAAATATTTTATCTGCATTTGTTCTTAGATCAGTTGGCACATGGGACAGCAGCTTCAAACTAGAATAAAAACAACATGATAAACATTTGAAGGAATGTTTGCTGAGATTGAAAGTAACTTTCACAATCAATAATATCTCCTCCTCTAATAATGCTCTCTTAGAAAATTCCTATAATTCTCTATTATTACTAAAACAATCAATACTATTCTGATACCATTTCAGTTACAGCTGGACGATGACTATCAGCAAAATATTTGATTTTTTAAACCATTATTGTGGGTGTTTAGTTTAAGTTTTGACTGTAGTGTGAGTGTGTTATCCCGGTTCTACAGGTTTTATTCTGGTTCAGTAATACTGTTTACTCTAGCTGAGCAAAAGGAACTTTTAAGGACTTTACAAATGTGTGTGTGTGACACCAATTTGCTAATTGTAACTGCTAATTTTTTTCTCTCTAATTTGCTTGAATCTTTTTTTCTGAAAGCACCTATAATCATTTCATGCAGTTAAAATAGCCTTTTAAAGTATTTTTAAAGTATTCTGATGTTTTTTAAGGTGGCCCTGTTCCATTCTTCATAATACATGTGGACTAAAACGAATGAAGTAAAAGGGAATTTAACATATTAAGGAATGTCAGAAAAACAATATGAGCTAGAAGATAAACTATTTGCCATTATTAAGAGAATTCTGATTAAAATAAGAATAAAAAAGTGATTTAAATAATTTTTAGGAAGTTTTGTAGAACGTAGTAAGTTTGTGAGACCTTATATATTTCCTGTATTGATTTGCTTGGTTTAGAAAAGTGATATTCTTTTGTGCTGCAAGGTGGATCGGTGGTTAGCAGCTAGAAGGTCGCTGGTTCACGCCCTGGTGAGGACACCAGGGATCTTTCTGCATGGAGTTTACATGTTCTCCCCGTGCAGCGTGGGTTCTCTCCGGGTTCTCCAGCTTCCTCCCACACAGTCCACAAACATGTTGAGGTTAATTGGTGATTCTAAATTGTCCGTAGGCGTGAATGTGAGTGTGCTTGGTTGTTTGTCTCCAAGTGTAGCCCTGTGTTCGGCTGGTGACCTGTCCACGGTGTCCCCTGCCTTTGCCCTAAGTCAGCGGGGATATACTCCAGCTCCCCATGACCCTAGTGAGGATTAAGTGGTGTATAGGTAATGGATGGATATTCTTGACTTGTACCACGCATTCACACTCAGCATGCATGTACATTTGACCTGTCAGATGGAGCCCTGAACACATGGGTCATGAATTCACACCATTTGGCCAATCCGATAAAACCCTGGGAATCAGGGGAAATTAAAGGGAAGTTAAACTTTAGTTGCTTATAGTTTTAGGTCTTTTTTTAAAATTGATGTTCTGTTTCATTGGTTGGGTATTCTTGTGCAGTGTGTCTTTTTTCAGCGGGAGTCAGATATGTTTGTATGTATGGTAGAACGTACCTAAAGCTGAAAGACACAAACTGTATACATTTAAGTAGCAAGTCACATTATCACCGCAGTATGAAGTAATGTAACAATACGTCATAGGTTTCCCATAGATATCTACATCTATAAACAAACAACAGTACATAATTAGGGAAGGAATCTACATGTTATATTTATGTGATTGTCTGTACAGTCGGGTTTACGCAACCTTTAAAGGGGAGCCAAGTTTCAAAATCAGACTCCAAACAAATAAAGTGAGGATAATATGGCTGGGGTAAGGCTTTTACATTGCCAGTTATCTCTGATTGAAATGCAAATATGTGATGCATAAAGACAGTTCCTGACTTGATCCCAAATCCCTCCAGATCCACAAGTAATAACACATATCTGTTCTCTCCGCTGCACGCCAACACCGTGTTGTTCAGCGAGCCAGATATCTTTTGAAAAACAACAAAATTTTCCCCCTCCTTCAAAACTATTTGCTTGGCTTTTCTTGCCCAGTTGTTCTGCAGAATATACACCGATAGCAGCAAAGTGAGTGTGGGATTAATGTTCATAATTACTAATGTAGGGGTATGATTTCAGTTCAGGATGACTTGACTGTTGGACAATGAAATAATATACAATCCCACAACAAATGGTCACCTCAGAAAAATCTGTAATCGTCTTTTTAAACTATAAATTCCACATTACACTAGAAATGTTTGACTTTTATGTAAAATGGTAGGGATTCAGCCTCTAGATGTGTTTCCACATAATGACGAGCAACTCACAGCGACGCAGTCATGATGTTGTAAATCCAAATCAGATCAAGTTTATTGTCATTTTGCTGTACATACACAGTATTACAGGCAAGATGAGAGAGCGTTTTTTCAGGATCATTTAATTAGTAAGTTTTGCAGAATGCACGCTAAACATTCACTCTCGCTGTCTCCTGAAGGGGCCATTGCGTCCATGCACGCCGCCATCACGTTGAACATGGCGAACCTCTTCAGGTCCTGGTAGGTCTTCAGAGACACAAAGACGCACACGATGGTGTGACGATGGTGAAGCCGAAGATGCTGCCCAGAGCTGTCTGTCTGTCTGTCTGTCTGTCTGTCTGCATCCCCTCCAGCTGTGTGTCCGTCTGGGATGTTGTCATGGAGCCATGTTTCTGTTAAAGCAGACACACAGCAGTCCCTCCACTCTCTGAGGGTTTCTCTCAGCAAACGTAGCTCGTCCAGCTTGTTGTGGAGGGAGTGGACATTGGAGAGTAGGAGGACGGTCCTGCTGGTCTGGAGGGGTTAGCCTTTAGCCTAGCATGGATTCTGGCTCTCTTCCTCTTCCTTTGTTTACGTTCGTACTGTTTGTGCTTCCTTCTGTTTTGGGTAACTGCTGGTGTAGTCTTCGATCGGACTTCACGTTGGTGTAGTATGTCCAAGTCACAACCAGTCACCGCAATTCCAGCACCGTTCACTGTCCTGATGTTCAGCAAAGTCTCCCGGCTGCAAGTTTTGTGGAATGAACATCTGGGATAGACAAGACACTCAAAACGTTCACTTTCGTTGTCTCCTGAAAGGGCCGCTGCGTCTATGCCCGCCACCATCACCATAGCTTTCCCCTAAAATAAGTATAATTTCTGTGTGTAGAAATACATCAGCTTGCTAGAAATCAGTAAAATGCATAAAAATGTATGCAATGCTTATCATTGCATTTCAAAAACTCTCCAGAACACACCACCTTTTATAGACATCTGTCAGCTTTGGCGAGCTGACATGACTCACATTCCACAGAGAGACTGACAGGTAGCAGCAGTCAGAACTTCAACACGCTGACACTTGGTTAGGTGGAGAATTTTTGTTCAAAACTGTCTGTCTAAAACTTCAGCTTTCACCATTTTGCACGCTGAAACTCCAAACACGTCAACCTGATCAGTGACACGCCGATCACAAAGCCAACAAACAGTAACAGTCTTCATTAAACAGCCTTAAACACACAGTAAGGGAGAAGCGATGCAGTCCTACAGTTTTAGTGCAACAAACGTCAAGTCAAGTGCCCTCATTAAAATAAAAAAAAGATCCATGACGCTGACCAGATTGCTGGCACGGACACAACTTCACATGTTGATCTTCTCGTAAACTCTCAGCCGTTCCTGTTAGTTTTCCACCTCTTACAGGCATGTCGCTTGAAAACCCTAAAAAAATATTAGAAAATGAAGATTAAAAAGATAAATCTACTGAAATGGTGTTAAGCCATTGGTGCGTTTGATTTATACTGTTGTGCAAAACTTCATATGCTAATAATCAAAGCACCATCACTGCACTATTGTGTGCTATGAGACCGT